TATTTAAAGAGTCTGAGTAGAGAATAGAATGACATGCCCAACCAATGTTTATGATAATTCTGGACGTGGCGCGTAACAGAAATGCGCTTAAGAATTGGCTCGTGATGTACCAGTTTTAAGATTTACCTAAGCGGATTAGAATGAATTTACATACATATCTTGCCATTTACGACCCATTTTGTTCTCTGAAAAGTGGTTGTCGTGAAAATATACTAAGTAACATATAAAATGCAACACCCAGAATTATTTATTGAATTTGATAAAAACTTGTAAACATATTTGCTATCATGGAAGTACACGCTGATAACCTGTTGAAGGCATCTCGAGCCGTACCTTTTTTGTAAAGGCTTTTTTGTCATATGAAGTCCGAACAATATGCACATGTTTACTTATTAGTCAGTGAATTTTCTGTGATGGTTCCATTGCTGTTTCATTGCATTATCATGCCTTGAGTTCACTACTACACTACTTACCAAGCTTGAGATTGGTCAAATAATCGGGTTACGTGAAGCCGGATTTTCTTTCAGAGAAATCGCTAATACGGTGAATCGAAACGAAGCTACTGTAGTGAGATGTTGTCGAGTGTGGTTTCAAGAAGGCCGAAATCGACGAGTTAGAGGTACTGGACGTCAAAGACATACTACAGAGATCGTTATTTGAGGCAACTAGCACTTAGAGATCGATTTTCCACAACAAGTTGCGAACCAGTGTTTCGATGCTGTCTGAAGGGCAATAACAATGAGGGCTGTTTATCCCCGAATAAGGTCTTTTGAACTGTTTTCATACCGTCCCCATCTTGTACTACCCCTGACCCTACAGCATCGTCGGCAACAATTGGTATGGAGTAGGGAGAGACTTGAGTGGATTATGGAATGGAACTCAGTCGTGTTCGGCGATGAGTTCAGATCCTGTTTGGACACACATGCTGGCCATGCAAGAGTAAGGACGAGACGTGGTGAAAGACGGAATATTCCATCGAACGGCATATTCATCGCACTGTGGATGTTATGGTATGGGGTGCCATTGCTTACGGCAGCAGATCACGATTAGTGTCCATTCGAGGCTGCATGACTGCCCAGCGCTGTATCCACGAAGTTTTACAACTACACCTGCCTCCCTTCTTGGAAACATTGAAAGATCCACTTTTTCAGCAGAACAATGCTCGACCTCATGCCGCACGTGTTAGTTTAGACGTTTTAGAAGCGTCCGGAGTGAATCTGCTCCATCGAACATGTATGGAACATGATGGGAAGAAGGTTGCAAAATTCACCGCAACCTCCACAAACATTGGAGGCTCTACGAAGCCAAATTCAGATGACCTGGGATACAATACACCAAGAAGACATCAATCACCTAATCAATCAATAACACGACTTAACGAATGTGTAGCGAACAGAGGAGCTTCAGCACATTATTAACCCTAAGGTTAATGAGATGTCTCAGCTAGCTTGGGAAGTTTCGAGTTAAAATTTTAATAAATCTCTATTAATCAGTAGACCTAAAACTTGTAAACGTATGCTCAAAATTACAGCACCCCTAGGCGGTGTTGAATTTTCTATGTCAGTTAGTATATTACGGGGTCGAATAAGAGGCACGTCATTTCGAATCAAGCTTTTTTACAAAATCCAATTAACTGTGACTAGCAAGCGATTGCAATGTCACGGCCCCCGCATTTAGTGTTGCCATCCGGCCGGGTTTAGCTTTGGCTGTCCGCCCACATTTTTATACGTCCGGCCTGTTCGATTTTTGATACTTTTTGGTCTTCGCGGTATTCGTATAATCGCTAAGGGCCTGAAATGTGAAGCGACGGGAAAGACCGTGTTCGTACCGCCTACCGTATTTAACATGTGTTTCTTATTATTCTAGTTATGGGAATTTTAAAAATGTATGTTCGGTCACGGGAGGTTCTAGAGGGGTCATTGGAGTCGAGATCGACCAACCCGCTATTCTATTATCATAACGGCAGTCGTTGTCAGAAGCACTGATTCAGCCTTCGCCGCCACCCCCCAACCCGATCTTCCATTATTTATTTGTCACAGAGGCATTTGGCTTACAAGTACTATTGTAGCTGAGCCGCAGCAACCCACACCTCCCCTCCCGCCATCGGATTTTTTAATTGCTAATAAAGCATGAACTTCCTGAGCCATCCATTGAGTTTCAGTACTGTTTTACTCGCTGTGTTTAAGTTCAGTTTCAGTCACAATCCATAACCAAGCATCATCAAGAGTCTCAAATTTTAATAGCAGTTAGCGTTCAAGAATTATGTGAGAAGCAAGGTAAATTAATTTTTTTGTCAAAGTGGTTGGCTTTAATGCTAATATTTTACATTATCTACTGAATATCTTTCACTTTCTTCTCATAAACCACAAAAGTATTCTAATCACGCTAAGTATTACATTTAAGTTTTATCAAAATGTCTTGAAATGTCTAAATCACAAAAATCCATTCTGTTGTCCCACTTATCGGCGCCTTCAGTATTCAGTTTGGATACCGATACACTAGCTGGTTATAAGATATTGCTGATATATTTGTAGACATATTTGGTAGCGCATTTACGAGCTAAATTAAATCAAGGAGATATTGCCCAACTTCATTATTCGTCTTTTAGCTTCGTGATAATTTTTGAGCGCATTGATTTTTAACAAGCCCAAACCTTGTTTTTATACGTTTCTCAATTAGTCAAAATATGCTTGAGTGCTCAAAATTTTTAAAACTGGTTATTATGCTTCTAGTTCTTTTTATCATATCAATTAGTACACAGTGTGGTCCATGAAAAAATAGTGAAATCATTATAGCTAAATTCAGTTTTAAAGAATACATTTCCCAAAAAAAGGATCTAAGACCGACCCTTATAACAACAGGCCTATAGCTCTGCTTCCTGTTAAACGTAAGGTGATGGAGATGTGCATGAGTCGTGAGCTTCTGGACTACCTCGAACGTCACGGCTTGATTAGCAACAGGCAGTATGGTTTCCACCACCAGCGACCCTCAGGGACCTCCCAGCTTACGTCACGCAATTGTGGAGTAAACTCATCCACTCTCATGGTGAGGCTCACACACATCGTATGGCCTCCCAGAGAAGCTTTGCAGATGGGTAGCTGACTTTCCCTCTGGCTGCAAGATAACCATCGTAATTGAAGGGTTCTCCTCTTCATCACACAACGTCAACGCAGGTGTCCCCAGGAATCGGTCTTGTCTCCGACACTGTTCCTCTTGCATATCAACGACCTCCTTTCCTGTATAGTAAACCCAATCCACGGCTTTGCTTCAGCATCATCAGACCGCGAGAATACTAGCAGCGACTTCCTCTCTGATGAGAGACTTGTATCGTATCACAGCTTGGGGACGCAACAATCTTGTACAGTTTTACGCTTTCAAAACAGAGTACTGACCCCTGAGGAACAAAATCGTCCTAGCGCTCATCCGGCTTCCACGGAGGACTTGATCTGGCACGAACACATTTCGTCAATAGCGGCAGCTGCTGGTAAAAAGCTAGGCTAGCTTAGTTTAGGGCAAAGAAGTACTATTCTTTGCATGACCTGCTCACTGTATACAAGGCCCAGATAACACCTAGCGTCGAGTATTGCTCACACGTTTGAGGTACTACCGCCCTTACTAGATTATTTATGCTCGATGCTGTCCAGAGGAGGGCTGACCTACTGATCGAAGAGTCTTCTCTAACAGACAGTCTCGGGACCCTTTCGCACCGGCGAGTCGTCGGCGATATAGCTCTCTTCTACCGCTACACCAACGACCTTCCTGTCAGACAGACCTGCCTGACTTCGGCCTCCCATCCTAGCCCTGTCGAACTTGTATATCCAGAACTGGCCGATGCGACAACTCCTTTGCCCCGACGCTGTCAAGATTGTGGAGCAATCTACAAGATGAGCCTTTTCCCAGTTCCACTAACCTTAGGCGAATCAAAAATGGGATTATCAAAATTTCTTCGGGATCCTCATAGCAGCCGCTGTGTCATGGCATTTAGGCTTCTACCTGCGTGGCTGCTTCGGTGTAATTAACTTTAACTCCTTTTTTTTTAAAGTCAATACCATACAAGCTGAATGAATAATTTCTATGTACGAAAAGCCTATACATTTTGAGTGCGCCGCACCTCTTTCATTTCCTTATATAAGAATTACATGTTTATTTAGATAGTTTATTATTTATTTTTAATTACGTGCAGCTTATTTCTGTCAGATTTCGTGGTAAACACATAAGAATTAAATTTATTCAAAATATTACAGGCAAAGTAATTAGTTTCAAAATGTTTGAGTACCTACTTATAATTCTTTAAATCACGACCTAAATGATAGAAGAGAAAATTGTAAACCAGTTTAGGCTTATCATTTTATCTCATAAAAATCACGGTTCACAAAAGTTATCACATATTTAAAAGTCAATTTTTCGCCATTTCAGTAGCAACATGATTTCCGAGGAAAAATTTGACATAATGGGGTGGGCAATGGTCCCTTATAGCTCTTTCAAAGTCTCTTGTTTAAGACACTCAGAAGCAATGAATAAATGACCAAAAACGCTTCAAGGCTTTTTAGATTTCTTATTCAGAGCAGCTTTGAAGCCTTTTTTATATTGCCTGGTTTTTCAAAATTTGGCGAGAGTGCCCCAGGAAACTCAGGTTACCATCTTACCCTCCCCAGATTGAAATCCTGGGAGCGCCACTGCTGCCACTGTGCCTCTGATAAAAAGAGTGGATCTCATATTTTATTCAGTTGTATGAAAAATATCTTTGGCTATTGAAGAAGATGATGTCCAGCTTTGTATTTTAAAGTATAATGAATGTGCATACTATTATATCCATCTTGATAAAACTATGAAAGGACAGACAACTTATACAAATTGTTGAGCATAGTTGAGAAGCATATGTTGAGGATGCAGTTTGAAGTAAATCTGTTTAAGACCATTTCTTGTGATAGGCCCATATTTCAGGATCATTCGATCAAGAGAAAATGATGTCGGAATCAGCTATATTTTGCAACCGCTTTATGATACTCACTTTCCTGTCATACGTGTTGGTTGGAGTGTCGGCTCACATTTCTGCCTTTTGGAGGTTGAACAGCGAACAGGAAGGTATATACTTTCAAAAGAATTCTACTTGTTACGATTTTCTACCCTACGTATTCGTGATCCCTTTTGATGATGGAAGCATTCGTAGTTGCAAATTTGCCCTGTTTATCATGGACTTTTCTTTTTGCATCATGTCATCGTATATTGCTGGTAAGTTCAACTCTTCGTACAAAAGTATAGTAGACTATAACAGAGAAGAAGATTTGATGCTTTGTTCAACAAGATTTAGAGTTGTATTTTCGTGAACACAAAACTTTTCGAAACGAACATCTGCGGGATCAACAGCAACATTGATGCTGTTCATCACTACCTGCAATCCAATCGTCCCGCCGTGCTTCTCTTGGCGGAGACAAAAATCTCAGAGGCTGCACCGATTAACCATCTCAACTTCCCAAACTACGAGGTGCACTCCAATCTGAGAAAGAACGGGGGAGTTGTGGCTTTTGTCCGCAGCAGTCTTTCCTGCTCCAGGGATCTTTCTTTGGAATCAGACCGGAAGGACATTCTGTGGCTTCGCCTCAACTCCAAAACATCACCCAAATTTATTTGCTGCCTTTATCGCTCTCCCTCGAACCATAACTGGGATGACCTACTCGAATACCTCGCCGTCCAGATCGACTTCCTGAACATCAATCACCCCGCTTCAGAGGTAGTTCTTCTCGGTGATTTCAATGCCCATAATGAGCTTTGGTTGGGCTCAAATAAGACCGATGCAGCAGGTCGTGCAGTCGAAGCGTTCGCTCTTACTCAAGGGCTGACCCAGCTGATGACGAGCCCTACTTTTTTCCCCCGCGTCTCGTGACACGCCAGTAGCCTGCTGGATCTCTTTCTGACCACGCATCCTGTCCCTTACAGCACTGCCGTCCTGTCCCCCCTGGGTAACTCAGATCACGGTGTTGTGGAGGTTAGGTTTCGGTCAGAAGCCGCTGTGGCCGCAGAAACTCGCACAGGCCGCAAAACTTGGCATTACGGACATGCCGACTGGGAGGGGCTCAGAGACTTCTTCTCTAGCTTTCCTTGGAGAGATGTCTGTTTCACTGACGCGGATACGTCGACTGTCTGTTCTTCAATAACCGAAATTATCCACGTCGGAATGGAGGAATACATCCCTCACACAGTGAAAGTTCCTAAACCAGGGTCCAACGGCTGGTTCAACAAATCGTGTGACACTGCTCGCCAGCAGAAGATCAAGGCCCACAGAACCTACTTACAAAACCCCACTGTAGAGAACAGACAAGCCGACGTCGAGTCCAGAAACAAATATAACGAAGCGGTTCGCAATGCCAAAACCCAGCATGATATAAAAGTTAGGTACAGGGTAATGTCGCAGCGCAATGGCAGTCGGTCTTTCTGGACGCTGGCCAAGCAGATTGAAAAGAACTTCTCACACAGTAGCCTTCCACCACTTACGTGTCAGGATGGAACTATTGTATTCGACCCAAAGGCCAAGGCGGAAGTGCTAGCCAAGATCTTTGCTGCCAACTCCACCATGGACGTCCCCACCAACGCCCAAGTGCCGTCAATTCAAAGGGTTCACCACACTATGCGGGAGGTAACATTCAGGCATAAGACCGTAAGACGAGTGCTCTTGTCGCTCGACATCAACAAAGCTTCTGGTCCGGACTTGATTCCTGCCATTGTACTGAAGAGATGTGCAGCTGAGCTTGCTCCAGTTCTTTCGCGTCTCTTCCAGATATCTTATGAATCCGGCACCTTCCCAGAAAACTGGAAATTTGCTCATGTACAGCCCATCCCAAAAAAGGATCTAAAACCGACCCTTACAACTACAGGCCTATAGCTCTGCTTTCTGTTATCAGTAAAGTGATGGAGAGGTGCATAAATCGCGAGCTTCTGGACTACCTCGAACGTCACAGCTTGATTAGCGACAGGCAGTACGGTTTCCGGCACCAACGATCCACAGGGGACCTCCTAGCTTACGTCACGCAACTGTGGAGTAAACTCATCCAGTCTCATGGTGAGGCTCATGTCGTTGCTCTTGACATCACGAAAGCGTTCGATCAGCTGTGGCACGCTGCCCTCTTGAGCAAACTTCCATCCTACGGCCTCCCAGAAAAGCTTTGCAGATGGGTGGCTGACTTTATCTCTGGCCGCAAGATATCCGTCGTAATTGACGGATTCTCCTCTTCATCTCACAACGTCAACGCGGGTGTTCCCCAGGGATCGGTCTTGGCTCCAACACTGTTTCTCTTACATATCAACGACCTCCTTTCCTGCACGATCAACCCAATCCACAGCTTCGCTGATGACAGCACTCTACATGCAGGAATTCAGAGTGACAAGCCGATCTCTGCCGCTGAGCTGGAAAAAAGAAGACTAGCGACGACTTCTTCTCTGACAAGAGACCTGGAGGCTATCACTGCTTGGGGACGCAACAATCTTGTACAGTTCAATGCTTCCAAAACACAGTACTGTACTTTGACGCACAAAAAGCGTCCTAGCGCTCATACAGTTTCGATGGACGGTCGAGTTCTACCAAAGAGCCATTCATTTCGGCTGGTCGGAGTCCAGATCACCGAGGACCTGATCTGGCACGAACACATCTCTTCAATAGCTGCAGCTGCTGGGAAAAAGCTAGGCTATTTGTTTAGGGCTAAGAAGTACTTTTCTCCGCATCACCTTCTCACTCTATACAAGGCCCAGATAAGGCCTAGCCTCGAGTATTGCTCACACATTTGGGGTGCTGCCGCCCCGACTACATTGTCCATGCTCGATGCTGTCCAGAGGAGGGCGGTCCGACTGATCGATGACTCTTCTCTAACAGACAGCCTCGGGACTCTTTCGCACCGGCGGGCCGTCGGCGATCTAGCTCTTTTCTATCGCTACACCAACGGGCTTTGCTCCTCAGAGCTCTCTTCCATGATGCCGCCGCGCGATGTGCCTGCCAGACAGACCCGCCTGACTTCGGCGTCCCATCCTAACCGTGTCAAACTTCGTACATCCAGAACTGGCCGATACGACCGCTCCTTTGTCCCGAGGGTGTCTAGATTGTGGAACAAACTACGGGAGGAAGCTTTTCCCAGTTCTACTAACCTCAGGCAGTTCAAAAATCGTATTAACAAAATTTCTTTGGGATCATCATAGCAGCCGCGGTGTTCCGGCATTTAGGCTTCTGCCTGCGCGGCTGTTTCGATATAAAAAAAAAAAAATATTAAAAAGAGCTCCCATCATTTTAACAACTTTTGATTAAGTGCGATCCTGGACTATAACAAATGCAACAAGGGTGTCGATAGGGAAACATTTCTGACATAGCAACTTTATGAGAAACAGGGCCGTACTTCACTCGTAATATCGCCAAATGTCAGTACGACATTTTTAAACAACCGGTAAAAAAGGACGAGGAAGAATAAAAAATTGATGGTTAACGTACATTGATATTAAGGGCCATATTATTACTACTAGATTTACTACCACATCTATTTAAACGGTGGTGGTGCGAGTTTGGCTCTTACCTTCTACTTAGACTTATTTCATTTTCACAGCCGTAAAAATGTTGACTTACATTAGCACTTGGCCCATGTAGACTCCTTTTTCTACTTCGAACATTTGCACAGAAATCTACAATTGTGTATAATGTATAATTATCATATGAAGAAGCATGAAAGGATAGAATAGTGTAACTAAATGGCTAATCCTCTAAAATTAGACATAAGATTTTGTAAAAAAATAATGATGGAGGGTACCAACCAAAAGAATTCCAAACAGAATTAGTGTGTTGCTGTGTTTTTGATACGATAATATACTCTTGCTTACATACACTCGTTCTTTAAAAGTTAATAGCGCAAAAGCTCCAAGTAGGGAAAAAACAAATTTCGAGATCTGTGAGACAGATTATGATATTCCTATGTATTTTCTAACGCCGAATCAAAACCTGGAATCAGAGAAGTCCTTAGACGTCTAGTACTCACCCTGGGTCCAAAATCTCCCCCAAAATTCTTTGATACCTAGAATCCACCACAGGGACCAAAAAACAAATATAAAAGAAGTGGAAAATTGTTTTCCGGATGGCAAATGCTATGCTGCGAGCTCGGTACATACATAAAAATGCTGGCATATGTATCGAAACGAGTTTGTAACTTTTAGAAAAATTTGATCTTGAGACGTACCATACGGTATTTCACGTATTTATGGACAAACTCTAGCCTTGCCAGGACCATCGGGCTGTAGGGTTCGACTTAGCATACACTACTCGAAACTCACACTAAATAGGAGTGTAACAGGATCTTCGTCCAAGACTCCCGGACCTCTCAATGTCGTGCCTTGAATATATAGTTCGGATCTCCAGTCTAATACTTTAATTTCTGGACTGGTCCGAGACCCCTCGAATTTCAAATTCTGTTACCTTTTACTTGTCTTCCTATAGGAGGTAGACTCGCGTAGAACCTGACATAAAGTAATATAATCTTGACTCATTGAAACACTCACTTTACGCGGAATGATGCTTCCTCTGTTCTCCAAGTAATCAGAGAATGTGGTAAACGCACGAATGAATACTTTCGGAACCCTCGAACTCAGTTAGCTTCAGTTAATGAAATTAATGGAACTCAAGTTAAAGGAGACCCATTTTTATTAATAATTGAATTACAGACTCAAAACATCTATACTCTCGTGAAGAGTGAAGTAGCAATGACAAAGAACAGTTAACTTCGTAAAACTAATAGGGTGGGGAAAAGATCACTGGAGAAGTGAATTACGACTAAGTTAAAAGGAAAGGTGACAACTAAATTACAATAAATTTAAGTTTGAACCTAATAGCAAAATTAAACTCTAGAATCTCAACTTTACAATGCTAATTAATCAAGCTAATGCATAGAATCCTTAGTTGAGTCGGTGTTAGCTTTAGCCAGAAGGGCCAATAAAGAAGGGAAAAGCCCCCTTTTAGTAACTGGGAGTGCTTACTGATGAGAACACAACTTGACACAAATTCTACCAATGCAACACTTATTAACAGCCACTAACTGAGGGAAAATCGAAGCAATTTTTTCAACCGTACAAATCAAAGATAAGAGAAGAACTGAAGTTTTTAGTTTCAAAATTATCGGAGGTCAGTTGCACATTTTCCCCTCCATCAGAAGGCTGGTCATTTTGACTTAGTGAGTTCAGCCCTTGTCTCCTCATTGGTCGATCAGTTCACAACCCTTGCAATGGGCGTCTGATTCTCTAAAGATGGAAACTAACCTGACCAATGATTGTTAGACTTAATTTTTGAACTCAAAACGACCTTAAACTCTATTGGTTAATTACGTTCCCTTGTCCCACCTCAAGGAGTGTCGTCAGCGTACAGTCTTCCCTTAAGTTTACGAAACACGCCCCCTTCAGTGGCGTCTCGAGGCTTTAATTGCTTTGGGGCAAACCCTGCAGTTTTCAATAATTTTAATGGATTGGGAATTCCTGTAATGCTGAGGCCACAATTCGAGATGCCCTCTTAAATAATTATAAAATTATACATAGCATTTATGTAAAACTAACGGCGACTCTCTTCTGGATTTTTTTTATATATTTTTAACAAAATTAGCCTCATTGGAACTATGCAGTCTTTCGTTAGTTTCACCTGCTCCTCTCTAATGATAATTTCCAAACCGCATCTGTCAACGTACGCGTTGACAGAAGGTAGAATCGTATCCAGCCTGGCGCACCTGCTCCTATCAGCTAGGGGAAAATTCTACTAAAAACCTAGCTGTTTGTTTCCTCTTTTTCATATTTTCTCACAAGTATGACAATTTTTAGTAATATGCTAGCCTTCGGAAGTCTTAGATATCCCATGATACGCCTCTGATGCCTGACCGTTCAGCGCTCGGGGTAGCTTCTAACATCTGCTAACGAAATGGTTGAGATTCAAATTTCTCGGCACTCCTTTGGTTGTAACTTTATAGTTATAGCAACCAAATGTTATTACAGAATATATCTCCAAACCCTGTTTTTGTCCCGGCATATTTGAAAAGCCCAACTTTATAGCATCCGGTTCTATTACCTATTTTCTTCGTAATATGAATTTGGTTTCCCTTGGCGTTCACTGGGTGGTTTGCAGATGCGAGTGTTTGTTCTGCCCTTAGTTTTTATGTTTATTTCTATTTTATGGATGCGACGAATCTTTACAAGGGTAGGCGGCATGACGAATTATTTCAACGAAATTAGAAATTGATAACTTGTTCGGCTACAGGAGTACCGTGAATGAGCATCTGGCATCCGAAACTCAATTTTCATGCCACCCAAAGGGTAGTTTTTGGGCCCATGGTGGATTCTAGACGTCTAGGAACTGTTCTGATCCCGGATTCGGATTTAGCAACAATATAGATTTGTTATATATATATATATATATATATATATATATATATATATATATATATATACAGGGTGACTTCGAAGTTGAGTCATTTATTTTAACAGTGAGTAGATCTGATCAAAAGAAATGTTTTTTTCCTTTACCATTTTTCCGGTAAAATTAAAGTAACAAAGTTATAGCCCTTTGGAAGTTTGAGTACCGCCCTGTCTCAATAATAATATTATGTGCTCGTGTTTGGCGACAACGGATATAATTTGCCTTATCGGTTCATCGCATCGGAAACAAAAAAGCGAAAGGATTTGGAACGATGTTTTTACAATTATTTCATTCAGTTGTATACAGTCAGTGTCAGTCGGTAGTGGATAGTGGTGTCTGTTGCGTGGCTCAAACGAAATAAAAAATGGCACATGTTTATGCGGATCGGTTTCCCAATCGAGTGCAACCAACCCCTCGTGCCTTTGTTAATGTAGTACAACGGGTTCGTGAATCATTTGACTTAAGACCTCACATGTGGACGGCATGCCGGTGCTCCAAGACCTCACGATCAAATACAGGTCCGCACTGAAATACTTGTCGGGAGGATACTTTATAAAACAAGGTAAAATTTTTTTTTTAATTTTTTTTTATTTTTACACACATATTTTGGTTTATCTTCCTTCTACAATCATTATCTGAAAATTAATGACTCAACTTCAAAGTCACCCTGTATATATATATATATTTATGACTATTATTTATGGCACAAAGTCTAACTATATTTCCGAGTAATAAAAATTACCGATTCTTACAGGGTATGATGCTGTTTTCTGCTGTTTTATGAAATGTCTGGATACGCACCTTCAAATACTGAGTATAGCAACGAAACATATTCGAGAAAGGTTACTTTCCAAAGGTAACATGACTATAGATTACGTAGTGGTTCATGATGACAGTTTCTCAAACTTTGAACAAGAAATGTACGAAGAGATGAAAAAATGTAACCGTCATCTGTCGTTTCTGCTCAGGTAATATTCATGTAACTGTTTCAGGATATATAAAATTTTGCATACAAATCAATGTCATAATATCAAAACCCACTGTCCCAAATGAAACTCATGAAACGATCTTTAGTTGTTTCTCTCATTTTTCTCTATATCTTTCTGGCATCGGGTCGATAAACGAAACCGTAGCTGTTGGGGAAAAGACATCAGACAGAAGAAAACTTTAAGCAAGAGTTAGGAACAATATTTTTCCTACCAGCTCGAAACAAAAAAAAAACAACTACATATTGTGATAATTGAAATCGGGTACTCCAATAACAAAAAACGTAGGCATAATTAAACTGTACTATTATTAATGTAAATATCAAAGAGCTAGTTGCTGGCATTTTGAAGACAAAACCCTGGGTATGGTGGTAGTACAATCATCGTTGCTAACCTCCAGATTATCAACAACATCTTTTAGTTCTAGTGTTGGAACTACTAATGTCGATAATGACATATTATGAAAAAAAAATAAATTCAACACCTGCCGACACACAGCGTATGGAAAAGTGATTCTTTTCAAGCAGTAATGGGTGCGGGAAGGTGCAAATACTGCACTCTGGTAGAAATAATATATTTTATTTGTCATTTTGATCTATATTCTGGAAAAGGCCAAAACGACACTACGTCACTAGAGAGTAATTTTTACATAGAGTGTTCTGATCACAGTTTTTGGCGGTTAAATCACATACGAAATAAGTGAACAGATTGAATAATGGCACCATGTGCGTAGCTTCACTTTCCTTAGGAAAGTGGCACACTGTACTGACAAACGTCAATAACGACAACAATAATAACAATAACAGTAATCTTTATTTGCAAATACAAACGCTATACAACCACTCCTGATATTAATAGCGTCAATCAAACAAAATTAACGATAAAATCTTGATCTCAAGCATATTATTCAAATCTGTCTTGTAAAAGTCATCGATTGTATATGGTTCTAGATTTATTAATATTTTATATATTTTTTTAAATGAACTTAGTTGTACATTTTTTTTCACAACTGTTGGTGGATGGTTGAACAGTTTAAGACAATTATAAAGAGGTCCTTTTTTAAATAACTTTAATCTATGCTTAGGATATATGATGCTAATTTGACATACAAATATGGTATTTTACATATACAGTAAACGATTGTATGTCTATGAATCTAATCATTTATTCATTGATCCTATCCATAATCCCTAGATGTTGTCTGAGATGCAGTTTGAAACGGATGTTATTAGTATTTGATATATCAATATTCCTGCCATAGATGTTAAAGAGACACTGCATGACACGTGAAAGAAATATAAAAGAGTGATGTTACATACATAGGCATTGTAAAATGGTTTTGATGTCTTATGTTGACATTATGTATACTTGACCTAGGGACCAGCTTTTCTAGTAAATATACAGGATTCTTAGAATATAATACATAATGTTGTTAGGTAAAAATAGATTGATATTAAGTTACAGACCAAACGGCAACAGTTATTCTGCAATCTCTCCAGACGCATTTGAGTCGAATAGTCCAGACATGGATAAAAAGCTATCAAACCATAACTGATAATTGCTGGCACTAAACTTTCAGCCAGCTTTTTCCTCGTCTTGAAGTTAATAATGTACTTATTGGCATACAGTACTCGCAGTTTCAAATAACACCTAGATAGTGTTTTAATGTATTGTTGGTAACGTAACTTGTCATCTATGATCAAACCAAGTATCTTACAGCTAGTTGAAAAATAAAGTTGTAGTTCATTCAAGAAGACCACTGCTCAAGTTTTCTCGCTTGTGATCAGAACCGAAAAGCACAAGTTTCGTTTTATCAGGATTTAGTTTCACATTTTGTTCTTTACAATTGTCAGATACTGTTCGTAAGTCCGTGTTAAATAATTTGCCTGTTCCACAAGGGATGGTTCAAAATGAAACAGAAGCTGCGTGTCATCAGCATAAGATTGAATGTGTGAGTACTGTATGGATTTAAAGATATCAGCTGTGTATATAATGAATAACAACGGTCCTAAAACAGAACCTTGAGGAACTCCTGATGTTATTGTTGTTATCTCAGATCTTTTGTTATGTAGAATAACGCTTTGCTTACGAAAACTTAAGTAATTGCAAAATAAGTTCAACGCTGTCAAGGCCATAATGATACAGTTTTGCGCACATAAGTTTATGGTCAACGGTGTCAAAGGATTTTGAAAAATCCAAGGATGTGAGTAGAGTGGCAAGCCTCTTATCTAGCGACCGTATAATTTCATCATTAGGATTTAAAGGTGCAGTGGTTGTATTATGCCCTCCCCTAAAACCCGACTGCTGCTTAGGGAGAATGTTTTGATCTATTGAATATTGATGTAGCTGTACATGAACTATTTTTTCTAACAGTTTGGATGGAATGCATAGTAAACTAATAGGTCTCAAATGAGCAAGCTCAGTTGGAGCAGGGATCTTAGGTAAAGGGCATACTCCACAGTCGAGGATAATATCCTTTCTCTAAGCAACAGTTTATAATGTGTGTCAATGGATTTAATAACTCTGATATACAAAGCTTGATCATACGCAAGGTGATGCCGTCAAGACCACATGCATTTAATCTTATCTTCGATATATGCTCCAGTACACTTTGGTCAACAAAGCTGAATGTGAAGCTGGAATCACTCATTTTGCTGGAGTAATATCTGGTAATAAGAGCATTGGATTCAGTATATACAGACATGAAGGACCTGTTTATTTCATTAGGATCGCTTAAAGTTGGCGGATGTGAAAAAGAAGAGGAATTATTTGTATTACGTTTTTCAGAGTTTTTCAAAATTGCCTATTACGTTTCAGAGAATGCAAATAGTTAACTTATGCGCACGTTTTTCTGTTCTCATTGCTATCAATGCACAGTTCCTCATCTCTTTATATGACCTGTCCATCTCCTTGAAAATCAGTTTAAGATTATCTGTAAGCTAGGGAGCTGGCGGCCTGCTAACTCTGACGGTAATTTTAGGAGCATGAATGTCGAACAATAATGTAACACAGTCAGTCAATAATCTTACTTTTTCATCGATACTTTGTACAGTATAGGTGTGAGATGTGATGCCAAGAAATGGAGCGTAAGTCCTTCATGAACAGATCATGATCTAAGTTTTTATAATCACGGTATGTCACAAACTTTTGACGAAACTTTTTGTCGATACAGGCACAAGTTACACAATACAAGTCTGTGATCACTAACAGCATCAGCGCTTAACGTACATGTATTATTTACTATCGTTTCATTTGATACAAACATTAGATCTAAAAGAGTCGCTGTATTTTGAGAGATCCCTGGTTCAGTGACTACTTGAGAAAATCCATATGAGTTGGAACAGTTTAATAGGTTGTTGTCAGTGTGAGTCAATATATCAATATTAAAATCTCCTAATACTATTGCATGATCAAAGTCAAGGTGCAACCGCGGCAAAGTTTGATCCAAATTTTGGATGCAGACAGCCAGATCCTTGTTAGGAGGACAACAATAGACCCCAACAGCAAGTTTGAAACTATTAATGACAACCGAGATAAACAGACTTTCATAACAATCAGATTGTAACATGCCAATATTTATGTGTAAGAGTGTACATCTCAAATCATTTTTCACGTAGAATGCAACCCCTCCCCCGCGAGATGGGCGATCACGCCTAAAAATTAAATAACCATCTATTGCTACTGATTCATTTGGTACATCACTAGATAGCCAAGTTTCTAATACAGCAAGAATATCAATACTGCTGTCAAACAACATCTTTTTGAGATCATAGAAACCTGTGAATAGTGGATTTACATATTTTGCGTGGTTCTAGGGTGTCTCATAAATATTTTCTTATTTTATGCCATAAATAAAAATACTTAGAATATTTTTACAAAGATAAATTTATTACCAAACGAAAGCCTAAACATTAATTTTATTTATGGAAAAGAGTATCGGATAAATGAGCACCGTTCATGTTTTCACACTCTCTTAATCTCGAACTGAAGTTTTCGATCACTCTCCGAAGCATTGCTCGAGGAATGGCGTTTATTTCATCTGTTATTTTTTGCTTCAACTCTCTCAAATCTTGTGGCGGTGGGGTGTATACCTTACTCTTCAGGTATCCCCATAAGAAAAAATCTGCTGGTGTCAAATCGGGACTTCTCGGTGGCCAGTTAATGTCTCCTCTGCGACTGATGACCCTCTCTGGGAATAACTGATGAAGAGCATCCAAGGATTCATTCGTGACATGAGAAGTCGCTCCATCTTGCTGGAAAAACGTGTTTCTATTGTAGCCACCATGGTTCTGTATAGCTGGAGTTAAAAAAGTCCTAATCATGTGGCAGTAGCGCTCAGATGTTACAGTTTGAGCTTGGCCAAGATTGTCTTCAAAAAAATACGGGCCAATGATTCCTTGCCCTGACATAGCAGCCCAGACGATAACTTTAGGCGAGTGTAATGGCGTCTCATGAAGATTTTGCGGGTTCTGCTCGGTTTTGTTTATTAACATGCCCGTTAATGTGAAAATTCGATTCATCAGAAAACCATATGTTGTTGTAACCGTTAAAATGCTCTCTCATTGTTCTACAGAACTCTAATCGATTAGCGGGATCTTGTGGTTTTAATTGTTGTGTAACAACAATCTTGTATGGGTGAAAATGCAAATCCTTGCGAATAATGCGATGAACAGTTGACTTATGCAAAGTTAGAGACGCTCCACGCAGTCTTAATGATTGCCGGGGATCCTCGTTAACGGACTGGCGCACACGTTCAATATTTTCGTTCGATCTTGCTGACCTTGGCCGTCCAGGCGGTTTACTAATACACGTGTTTCCAGTGCTCTCGAACTTTCTTACCCAATATTTAATTAAATTTGCGCTTGGGACATCTCTCATTCTTGCTATGTTATAATGATTTCTGTACAAACGACGTACAAGCACATAAGAATCCTTGTTTTTATAGAACTCGCGAACACAAAAAGCACGTTGCGGCCCTGTAAAACGCTCCATTGCAACTAAAATTTAACAATGTTGCCAAACGTTTGTCAACTGTCTCGTTTCTCCGGAGCATGCGTATTCCGCCAGAGGACTGATCTAAAAACGAAAATATTTCTGAGACACCCTATACAATACAAACTTCGTTTCCTGCGAGTTCCTTGTGTTTTACTTTATCTAAATGATCTTCACTCTCGCAATTAATCACAATCCCATTTTTGTTAATTTTGCACTGCTGATGCATGAACTAGAATTTGCTGGATTTATTTTGGTTTTAAGGGACTCCATCGTTTTGTAATTAGCAGGTTCATCCGATTTAGGTTTCACAAATATCGTGTGTAATTGTTTGTGTGGAATGTTTACATTTTTTACGGCCGAGCTTTGGGGAACGGTAGGAATGAGATACGACCCATTTTTATTCGAAACTTTCTCTTGCAGATCTGCAATGCTGTCTTTTTGCAGTGGTATATTCTTGATCCGCGACCATCTTGTTCAATATTAGATTCTCCCTTTGCAGCATCTCAATTGCATCCTTTGCCGGGGTCTAAGTAGTAGTCAGCATGCATGACTTACATGTCCAGTTCACTCGTTCTATTGCGAAAATACGGGAAACCAGCCCAAAACACGTCGTGTGCAGCGTGCACTTGCATATAGTACACTCAACACCAGATGTTCTAATATTATCACCACATAATAAACATTTCTTTTTCTTATTCTCGGGATCGTCGTCATCAGGTGGCGCCATATTTGTTTCTCAGATATATTTATATGAGGCACTCAAAAAACTGTTAAAATACCAAATTGCTTGAATTTGCTTCTACATGGTTCATTCAACTTCAAACCTCAAATATTTTTCAATATTCTCTTTTGTATTACAAAAATTCCATCAGTCACTACAGCTTCCGAATAACATACCTCAATCTAGATTCAAAACTTTTTCTATCCAAATATTTAGCAATAATTCTTATCGAATAACATATCTTATTGAGCTTATTCCTCAAATAACTTATTTGGCTGTCCCATCTGTGGTAACTATCTAATTCAAGACCAAGAAATCTAGCTTTGTCAGACTCTGTAATTTTTGTACCATTAAGACAAATTGAATTCTAAAAATTTACTGTGACTATTTCGAAAAAGCACTAGTCCCGTTTTATTAAGAATTAGCCTAATATTAAAAAACCAGGTTTGTACATGGTTTGAATTGTATCCCCACTCATCACACGAATTCTCAGGATCTGTAGCATTTATCAGCAAATTTGCATCATCTGCATACCTCATCGTCATCTCCCTAATTCTCAGAAGCTAATCTTAGGATTGCTTTGGTTCATTCAGAAGTTATGTTCAGAAAGGCGAGTATTATATGATACTAAATTTCTAGACAAATCGACTAAAACCCATTTTTAAAAAGAAGTGGCAACATTTCTAGGGTAGAACGTATTTCCAAGAATAAAAAAGTTAATATAAAAATAGATCCTAAAATGTCCCATTACCAATATATAGGGTCTTATAACTTTCTGCGCTACTGATAAGAACGCTAGGGCTACTCTCCTAATATACTACATGCAATTTTAGCATATTTTTGCAGTAGTGTAAGTTTTTTATACCAATTTTATCTCAAATGTTCAAGTCTTCTCACAGACAAAAGATAAATCAAATATTGTCACTGTACTGAAGAAGATCATCTTTGTGATTGAAACGTTTACTACAGTAAAGAAGATATGTCAATTCATGTGGTTTAATTGACCAGAAAATCATGTGGTATTATTGTAGGTTGGTGTGAAATATCGGAGAAGAAATTATATTTATTTGATTTTCGAACTATTTTCAGTCAAACTTTTAATATCATGCAATTTTCCCAAATTGATTATTGTTTCATTTTGGAAATTATCTTATCCATTTTCACCTATGCTCCATATTTTCTAGAATCATCCGGGATATCGATGAAATATTCAGTTTCATCATGTTGCTCCAGTGCATAACATCAATGTTCATGATGGCATCGAACTTTTTTGTAGCATCTATGTTATCACCTTTCGACCCCGAATTCTACTCTTTGACAGAATACATGTTTGCTGCATTAGCACAGCTTTGTATGATATGCCATTTTGGTGGTAGAATTACTGAAACGGTAAATATATGGCGACTGTTACACGTTCAGTATTTACAGTGGTCCGTACCATCAGTACTTATTGTATCATTATCATTGGATTTCTATGTAACCTTTTACAGGAACAGTTATGATATACAGGAAAAACAAAATTTGTCTGACGGCTTGAGCTCAATATTACAAGAGAGAAGTGCGAGAAGTGTGTATTAACCCATGTTATAAAGAGATAGAAGCCGGCTGAAGAGCGAAGGTCTTTAGCCGTCAGACAAATTTCGTTTTCAGTGTATACTCATATACTGATAGATCACAGCAAATACTGATCGTGTGACATTCGCCTGCTACTTACGTAAATCGTATGTATGTATATGTATCATTCTTGATTATTACACTACAGGTAATTAGTTGTCAAAATATACAGGATGCTCGAAAAGTTGCGGCTTTCTCTTTCAGAAAAAGCTACACTTGAAATAGCTAATTTGTGGTGAAACAGCAGCGAAAAAGTGAAAAAAAAATGGAGACAATTGCTCACCATTTTGTGTACGTGTTACTTTGGGGATAAGTGCTACCTTTGAGGACATCCTGTATAAACAAGCTTTTACTTGGGTGCATCCTTTGTGGTTTTGGCTTCTTGATCGTTCATATCAATTTAAGTTACACATTCTTGGGATTCGGTCACATTTAAAAAAAATACGACGTTCCGATTTTAAACGCCACATTCAGATACATGCGAGTTTTTAAAATAGTTGATAAAAATAATTACATCTCTGCCAGATAGATGTCGGTAACTGCCAGTCGTTGACCTACAGTCAAACTACCAACATCTGTCTCACAGAAGTATAATTACTTTTACCAACATTTAATCAGTTAATGCCCAGTACAAGTTTATGGTTTTGGGGTTTTCCGTGTTTATGGTACAATTGTATTATTGGAATAAATAAATATTTCCTACAATAAACCACTACTACTACAACTATACTGCAAACTCCCTGAAGATGGCGTTTAAAGTCGCCGAAAACTGTTATTTTTAATAAATGTTTTTAGTTGATCGAATCCCAAGCATTTATAACTTGAATGGATAAATCCAGTGCAGTGGATAACACTATGAGTACGAATTAAACTTTTGATGAAACGTTTCAAATTATAATTTCAGAGTTCCTCTTACAGCCGTTACCTTTACGAATGTAACTGGTACAGCACCAGCAGAAGATTTAAGAAATGTATTATGATTATGATGACTCGACTGCAGATACCTGTGATAGTAACTGCAGGGAAGTTTTTCCCGTTGAGTTTATCTACAATTATTTCCGTAAGTCACTGTTACAGAAACTGATACGCCGGCCGCACACATTCTATTTTGTAACCATGCTATCGCAAGAGAAAAGTAAACAGCGGTGCAGCGCTTTTATGCTGGATAGCAGTAGTCACTTGACAGATTTCCTGAACGTGCTCAATGTATTCATGTAACATAGGATACCGTCAACTGGTCGAACACTGGCACGAGCTACCGCGGAACGCTCCGCGATGTTTCGACGTCAGCCATCTGAATCACGCAAAATGTCTCAAGACAATCAGGAGGCTATATTTTCTGTTGTTATTCGGATACTCATACTAGTTATAAGCAGCAGAGTTGTTTATTTTGTTTCATCAGCAATTGCTCAAAAAAGCTCAAACTCAATTAGTCGATGGTCACTAATCAATTAAAAGAAAAAGAAAGATGATGTACAGAAAAGTTACTAAAACAGGTGAAGGATAGCCTTAGCTGACTTGTTAAGATACAAGTACAATAATCTCGCGGTTACAGCCGCACAAAGCAAAGAAATTGGGGCCAGAAAGAAAGTTTCTTGTTTGTTCATGTCGAGTTTTCGAACATCTTCATCAAGACGAACTACAAAGAATATTGTAATTTTGTTAATTGAGCATTGAACAAAACCTGTAAACCAAAAACGTTTCGACCTGTGCGATTAGTCAAAGTAAACCGACTCTTTTTGTATCGAGACTAAAAAAACGTTTCGATCTACAGTTGCATAACAAAATCTAAGCTTGGTAACTTGAGTTAAAAAATGTGGGACCTTGCTGAAAAGAATGGTACATTTTTTATAGCACTGAATGATTGACAAAAAATCATTTTACTTTCTGATATGAAAATAACCTTATATATGTTCTTGTTACAGGTTATTAAGGGATCATTTTCATACGCTGCAATGTATAGAACAGTGGGTCAAAGGTAAATCATGATGAAAACATCTTTAACCTGCATCTTATGTAAATACATGTATGTATATGTGTTATCAAATAGTTTGTGTACTGACTTTAATAAATTACTATAAGCTCGTAGCCTGTAGCACTAGGGTGTTTATTGATCATCCAAACACCCCGAATACTCGAAAACCGCTCAAGAATGGGTTGCAAAAAAGTCTCAGAGAGTCAAAAAATGACCACAAGTATGGAGGTAAAGTTTTTGAGTCATAGACACGTGTAGAAATCAAGATTCTACATCCAAATGTATTTTCAAATATGGGGTCAAGCTATCATATGTGGTCCAATTAATATGACCTGGAATGTCTGGAAAGTACGCGAGCACCTCAAAAGCGACGATAACCTGACAACCACGTAACTTTCCGAAACAAGATCCAAACAGAAGACTCAGGATATCAAAAAAAGCTATAGATGTTATTAGGTATGACCTAGATGATGTTCTCATACATGACGTTGGAGGTTAGGTCGTAAGGTTTGTGATTTTACTTAGCAACTACCGCTTTTGAAAGCAAATTCGTGTAGAGCTCGACATTTCACATCAGAGTACATTTTCATAGGCAAGCTTAAGAAGCCATAAGTGGTTCAATCAACATATCCTACTATAACGTCTGAAAAACATACGACCACCACGAAAACCTTGTAATGTTCTAACAAAGGTTTTAGTGCTTTTACAATGAATTTAAATAATGACCTTAGATGCCATTTGGAGATCAAGCAATACGTGATGGCAGGGTATCGAGATGTTCGAATATTTGATAGACCATACACAACCCAGAACCCAGTAAGTAGGTGGCTATTGTCCGTTTCTGGGTCTGTCTTTATCACCTTCCACCCTCCACATCATCTGACTTACTAGTGATTGAATGTCAACATGTACGGTAAAAATGGTATTAGTCACACTGGTCGTCAATTCCGGCTGTCTCTGGTAGTCAATCCACCTACCTACCGTATAGACGGCCAAGAGTATCCTCCGTGACGTTACATTTTACGCAGTTCGCGTATCCTCTCTTTCCTGCCCTGATCAAAAAGCTGCTAGAAAAATGATGTTCTGTGAGGTGTGCAGTATGGTAATCTGACCGCAACGCTCTCCTATTACTCCAGGCCTAAGTATCTGGAACCAGCCTTCTTGCCTTCGCACTATGACCAGTTGCTTCCCATCTAACAATAAGCGCCTCCTTAATGCTTCTTATCTATTTAGTTAGGTATTGAAAAATAAAACTTAACTAATAAATCTTAAGATCAAAGTAAATCGCAGAGTAAAAAAAAATCGCTTCTATATATTTTTTTTATACTCCAACTACCACGAAGGCCTAAGGCCTAAACAGCCATTGGGTACCGTCGGGCTATAGGGGGATACAAGGGAAAGGGGGGACGCCACACGGACTCTGGCGAGGGAACACGTGTGCATACAACATGCACACATTCTGGCTCCGCCTACGAGATCCACCGGGTGGTACCTCCGTGTTCGACAATCAGAGACCGTCTACCACCTACGGACAATCAGAACATCCATAGCCAAGAGAAAAATTTCTCCAGGGACGGGATTCGAACCCGCACAGCGCACGGCGACTGATCAGGAGACCGAAGAGTCTACTACTGCGGTCTCCTCTGCTGCCTAAAACAATCAAAGAGAAAATCCCCCATTATCACTGAATTAGTAAATTAAACTTACTAGCTGCGAGATGCGGTTTATGAATGCGAGTTTTTCTGCGTTTTCTGGCTAAAGCCGGTTTGGCTGCTCCTTGTACAATATGCCGGCTTTTGACGACGATCCTTCTCTGTACAGAGTGGCCAACTAAGAATGGAAGTGCTGTATCTGGGAACCTATACATCGTAGAGGCTTGCGGCAAAAAAAGTTACTAAAACGGCCAACAGGAAAACTTGGGGGTATTCAAAGGTTTCCGTAAAAAACACCCTGTATTTTAGAAATGACTGAGCCGATTTTAACAAACTTGGGCTAGTTGAAAAGAGCTACTCTTGGGCTACAGGCGTCATAATGTTTTAAGATTTGCTCATGTGACTGAAACGGTTAAATTTTTCAAAAAATCAAACGCAGTGGTATGGTTTTTAAAAAAGTAGTTAAATGATGTCTAAATAAGCTCGAGAAAACCGCATCTCGATATCTTGTTTCTAATCGAAAATTTAGGCCAAAGAAAATTTAATTTTTTTAAGCTAATTTTTTTGGAATTTCCTTTTATTATTGAGTTGTAGGACTAAAAAGGACTGATTTACAAAAAGAAAGGTTTTTAATGCCCCGTAAATGCTGGAAATGCTGACCATCACGCTCTATGCATTCCTGAAGCCTCTCATGGGTAGACAAAACTGCAGCAGCAATTTCGGCTCTCGGTATGTTAAGTATTGCTTTACGAATCCAACCTTTCATAGCTTCTCTGGTTTTAGATTGAGTCTAAAACACGATTTTTTTAAATACCCCATAAATAAAAATCGAGACAAGTTAAGTCTGGTGATCGCGAAGGCCACGGAAACAGACTGCCTCTTCCAATCCGCCGCTGTTGAAATACTGCATTAATATGTATATATGCTCTCGCACAATAATAGCATAATGTGCTACGCAACCATTCAACTGCAAAAACAAGTTTTGCCGTGTTTCCAATTGCACGTCTTCCAAAAACAACGGTAATTGATTGTCCAAAAAGTCAGGCAAGACATGACCATTTAGGGATTGCTCAAAAAAATATTACACAATAATTCTTCCTCCCTCTATCCCAAACGACCCATTTAAACTCCAACGCCTTTGGTGCTGAGCTTCACGCAACTTACGCGGATGTTCTGCAGACCAATAAACCATTCAAAATATTTTGAACCGTTGTTCGTGATATGCCCAGCTCAAAGAATAATGTCTTTGTGCTAACATGAAGATGTTCTTCAATATATCCCAGTACGCGGTTAATATTTTCGTGTTCTTCCACTTCTTTGGCGTTGAAACGTAGGCCGAAAACTGCCATTGGCTTGTAACAAGCTCGAATTTTGACCATTATTTTCCTACTTTTGTTATATATCTTTCTCCGCATGATCATTTTCTCTTCGTAGATCCTTTGGGCTTGAAGTACCAGAGCAAGTGACCATAACCGGCCGCGTGGTTGTGGTTAGATGTCTGCTTGTAAATTCGAGGTATTTTAGTCATTTTATACTGCAATGTGTAGGTCGGCTCTTGTTGTGGACTTCGTGTGTTACTTTTTCCCTCTCCATCTTCATTTCCTCAGGTTACATCCGTATCGGGATGTGTAGGCATGTACATATATCTACACAACAAGTAGAAATACGTACTGCCCATTATTTTCTTGTTATATATATGTGAACAGTAGTCATTGCCAAAGCCAACGACCAGTTGGGCTCAAAATACAATTAATTGTTAATTGGGAAATTGGCAAATTTTTAGGCTTAAGTTGACTCTTTTGACGATAAAATTAAGTTTTCGGCATTCTCTATGGAGCCTTCATCAGGATTCTGACATTCTAACATGTAACGAAGGTATCTGTCGTTATCAACAAGCCCAATGTCTCGGTCCTTTTGTTTTTATATTTATAACGAGTTCTATCTTCTCTACGTTCGTTTTGAAACACCTTGTGGTTGCAACCTCAACGACGAGTAAGTTGTTTGACAATTTAAATCTGTCCTGTATTCTTTGCTAGCATCACAATTGTGTTTTCAGAATCCTGATGCAGAATGCCGAAAGCTTGATTTAATCGTCAAAAGAGTCAACTTAAGCCTAAAAATTTGCCAACTTTCCAATTAACTATATATATATATATATATACAGGGTGGCACATCCATGTGTGGACAGAATATTACCCATAAACAAATACATTTTGGGGAAATCTATTTATGGGATGTCATACATGACATTTAAGGGCACATTTCTAAAATATTGGCCATTATGCAGGGTGTCAAAATTTCGACCTACATATCAAAGTTGTGATTTTTCAAATGGAACGCCTCAAATTTAATTGCATATTTGGATGAACCAATTCAAAAGAAGAAAATTGATATTACATACTATGATAGGGTTTTGGTAATTAGCTACTGAGATATAAGGT